GAAGGATCCAGCTTCCTTTTATAAAGGCAGATATTAGAAAAAACTTTGGGAAAAAAAGGTAAAATCACAGGTCTCTAAACAAAAATACACTATTTATGTTAACGTGCAGTGGGTTTATTATCATTATGTTTGAATTAATAAATAAGCATTTAAAATATTTCTCAGTTTTAATCTCTAATATAGTCAATATTGATAAAGAAATCTACATAAGCAAAAACTCTTCGGGGCTGCAATAACTTTTATGAGTGTAAAGGAGTTCTGAGACCAAAAGCTTGAGAATTGTTGGAATGTATCATCACTGAGAAAGCACAATTATTGTAAACGCAGCTCAGAATCAGGGCAAGAGAAAATGAAAAAGGAACAAGAATAAAGTTTTATAATCCTTCAAAGTTTGTTAGAATGCAAAAATTTGCTTTGATTTACCAATGCAGCATAGTTTATAGTTTTATCTGAAATTCCACCAAGTCATTTAATTAATTTGTTAATTCAGAATACTTACCAGCATTACTTTTCTGGTAATAAAAATCAAAGAAGGATTTTAAAAATAAAGTCAAGCCCGTATCTTTCAATCTCAGGACTCCTTCACTGTTTATAAGACATACTTGTCTTTTAAGATGATATTTCTGACAGTTTATACTCAGTACTATATATGTCTCCTTTCTGACTTCTTGCATGTACAAGTCAAACAATTAGTTGAGATTTAGGAAATTCGTCCATAAAAAGCTACCCAAAGACTCTTAGACTATAACTCCCTAAGAGCAAAGGCTGTATGTAACTTAATATTCCTATTTCTAAAACAATGCCTAGACATACACTCTCTGCATTCTACTTTACATAAATTAGTCCACAAAGAAAAAATATTTCCATAAAATAGCCGTCTGGCACAATAAATGTTAAATAAATTGGGTGACTGAATCTAGCCATCTGGATCATCTCTAGACAAAAATGCAAAACCAAAAATATTGTTTGTCAATTTCAATCCTACTGTATATATCTAGTTTTTCTTGAATACATAAAGGATTGTGAGATCAAGGGCGAACAAAATCCTAAGGCTACTAAGCATGAATAATCATCCAAATTGCATAAAACTAAAGAAAGTGGCCTGTCACACTCAGAGTAATGAAATCTACCTAGAATTTGAGCTGATTTTTATAAATAAAGAGGTGGGAGAGAAAAAATAGTCCTAAGTTTTAAAAAAATATTTATTTAAAAATAAGATTTCTAAAAATACAGTACATAATACATTTCAAGAGAAGTAAAAATTCCACAATTTAAATTAAAAACAATCTGCAAAGAAAATAGAAATATCACATGGATAAAATTAAATCATTAAGATAAATTAAAAACAAAACACAATGGCGTTCTTAAGGTAGATACATTGTTTGTTTTTCATTTTAAGAACCAGTGTAGACTTTTCATTTAAACAAGTACAGCTCGGATACACGGCTCCCACTTGTCATTTTCCTCCCTCTTCTCAATCAATTCTCAGATCCTTCAAATACTATTTTTCTTATGACTTTAAACACTAGGAATATTAGTGAAGATTTTTTCTTTAAATGCTCTTAGGGGAACTGACAAGTTAAAATAGCAGACACGAAGCAAAACAGCACTCAGATTTAAACATATTCACTGAATGAAAAAAATGCCTGACAAATTTAAAAACAGGACTTCATATGGCACTTGGAACATACCACTATTAAAATAAAAGTCTTTTATTTCAGGGACGTAGTATTAGACACCATTTGAGGTTGACACAGAACTTTAGGAGCCTCAAAATGTCACAGATTTGCCTTTTCATTAAACTTGCCAGTCACACTTTAAAAAGACTAATTCCAGGACATAAACCTCACACAAGCAGGCTCACCTACGGTCACTTCTCCCAGCAGCCTATTCTGTTCCCCCACAGTAGCCTTGCAACTCTTTGGTCGGAGTATCTCCAACTGTGGTGAAAATTCTTCCCATTCTATCACTAAATTGTTTTATTCTACCTATGTTAAAGTAGCAATTTCTTGTTAATATTCATCTCTGGAGGACAGCAGATAACTGGTGAATTTCCCACCACCCAATAACTTGAACAAATAACTGCATTTGGCCACGTTAATGAAAATGATACATAAACGAGCTGAATAACTCAGAACTGATATTGTGGCAACAAAATCTAGGAAATATATTGTTGACAATGAGAGAGAGACATAATGTTGTTTCTTCCCATTATGCTTTCGAATTTTGTTTTCACCCCTAAAAGCATGTACATCTGTATTTCTACATTTCATTCAGATGACCCTGTCATATTTCACATTAATCTAAGACTTGATTTTTTTCCATTCAGAATTCACTGCAAAATCAAATATTGTATCTACATTCAAAGATAGGTTGATTTTAGTTGATTGACAATAATGCACAATATTCTCAAATGTGATTGTCTACCTGTCCAATACGCACACAGTTATTTTCTTGCCAGAATTTTAAACCATTTCAGCTACAGTTTTCTAAGAAAACTATATGAGTCTTTTAAAAGTCTGGGAAAAAATAGGGAACCAGGACAGTAAATGTAAATGCAGCGGTATGACATTTGGACAATTGTAACTACTTCTAAGGATATTTTCTCCAATTTTTTGTAAAATGAATCAATAAGCAGAATTAGTTTTTAAAATACTCTTCTTAACTCTTTAACTTTTTATGCAAAGTAACAACACCCATTCAATTGTTTTAATTAAATCACAATTTTGCATTAAGCAAGTGTGTCTGTGTATCTGACACACGCACATATGTATATGTTTTTAAAGTGTTCTTTAATTTTATCTTTATTTGCAAAATAGCCAAATGGCAATATCATTCTTTAATACCGCTAAGGATTACACACACATACATACACACACACACACACACACAGAATTCTTCATCTGTAATCTGAACAGGCCCTTAATTTTTCTTTTTAGCATTCTGTTTCAGCATCTATTAGAAGGGTCCAATAAGCTATATATATAGTTCATTTACAGAAATAAAGTAGAGTTCTTACTATTTCTCACTTACTCTTGCAGAATAAAATGAAAAATCTTGTGTAAAGTGTTTCAATTATCTTTTGTAAATTCAACCTATTAACCTACTTTTCAAAGCAGCCCATCTATATGAAAATACAAAATCAAAGACCATACTGATCTTCCTAACTCAAAAAAAAAAGTGTAAATGAGAGACATTTAAAACCAAAGTGAGGCATCAGTGTGCAAAATCCAAGATCTATTAATCAAAATTGTTTTTAGTAACATTAAATTCTACTTTATAAACACAAGGAGGCGAAAAGAAAACTCTCAGTGAATGAAAAAGAAAATGAACTCTTTGGTACGGGAATTAAAAATGTCACTCAATGCTAAAGTGAGTAGCACCAGGATGTTTTAGTCATTGAGGTTGTAAAACACCAACTTCAGGCACCAGTAGTTAAAATATCACCCAACATACACTGGCAAGAACACAGAGCTTCCAATATGAAGACAAGCTTTCCCTTTTATTAACAGCCTACGCATTTAAACCCTGGACTTAGTCAAACAGGCAAGTGCAGCTACAAAAAGAAACACATCTCTTGTTGTTGATGTTTTGTCGACATCTGTTTATATATAAAGCTATCAACACCAGAAAGATGAGAGTGTTGAACAACTGTGGTAAGCACCACCTTACACAAGGATTGCGAGGATTCACAATACCAACAGCTATGGAGACCTTCAAGATATTAAAACTCCAGAAGAGTCCAGATTTTAAAGTGAAAGTCACATTTCATATATGAATTACTGATTTTTCCTCTGTTGACAAATTTTACTGTAATCCTCAGTATCCTTTCTTTGCAAAAGGAGACTTATATAAAACGTCTAATTTTTTCAATCAAACTTTGGGCAACCTATGCGTTCCTCCTTGGCATTAAATAGCTGCACTTTCACGTAATTCTCAGTACTTCACGTTAGCATACATCGTACAATTATGACATTTAAAACTGAAAAAAAAATTTTCAAAGGCATCTGACTAGCTGATGAGAATCTGCAATGTAAACTCTTTAGATAAAATAGCTCAAACTAAATGCTTACCTGCACGAACAACTCATAGTAAAATGATATCAACAAGAGATGAGGCTAAAATGACTGTAGCAGCGGGATCCTCTGATGTCACAGATACTGTATCCTGTCAACCCTGCTGCTAAGAGGCTGATTATACGTGCTCCATCTAGCCTTCTCTCCATCTTAGTAAGTTTCCCTACTCTACCCAATTTTGGATACTCACCACCCATTTGTATCTGCCCTCTACAGTAGACAGGGGGAAAAAGGAAATAATAATAATAAAAAGTATAATGATAATAAAAAATACCGGCAATACCAACGACACAAGAATTTTAAATACCATTGTTATTTCTGCTTCAAATTAGCACTAGCAGGCATTACAACATCTGAAGAACAGACAAAAATGTAGTAAATTTTGTTGTTAAAAAATGCACAAAGATAATGAAAGGAAGCAACAGAAAAAACTTTCCTGAAGTTAAACTATCATCACCCCAAAGGCAGCAGAAATACTAAACACTGATTGATATATAGAATAACAACATTGATTCAAAATGCTTCAAGCAAGTTGGTTCTATTACATTCTCACATCTTATTGAAGAGTATTCTAGAATTCAATTGAGAGTGGCTAAATTCGGAGCATAATTAAATTTGTGATTTATAGAGAAATTCAGAGGATTTTTAGAATCAAAAGTAACAAATATGGACATTAAATAATATACTCATTCATTTGGTAATTATATGGTTAATAATAACAGCAAGTAGAACATACTAAACGTACGTGACTTACTAACTACATTCGCCAACACTTATATTTTTTAACGCAATAGTAGTATAACTGGGTAAAAATCTAATAACTTACATCTATTAGTAAATTATTTACTGTTTATAAGCGTAAACTTTACCAAATAAATTCTAGCTCTATATACACACACACACACACACACACACATATATATATATATATATATAAAAGAGGTCATGTCAAAACCTTATTTAATGAAGCAGCAACAGTCTAGTAAACTTGAGCTAAATAATCTATTCATACATGAAGCACAATGGAAGTAGAGGCTAGAGAAAAGTCCAGGGAGACACTAGCAGCTGTTAATATTAATGCCATTGTAAATCAGAGCTGAACACGTTGTGATTTAATAGCAACACGTGTGAGAACATTCAAACTCCCCCATTATCTAACACACAGAAAACCGTGTGGTCCTAATCTAAATTACTTCACACTTCCTGGTTGGAGATGTTTTCCTAACTCAAGTCTTCATGATTAGCATTCAGAATTAACACACCCTTTTTGGTGAAACATACCTCCAACTAATTATATATACAAAAATGAACTGAAAAAGCCTGATGAAGTATAGTTGTAATTAGCCACCATCCTTAGAGAAGAGTACGTTTAAGCAGCAGAAAACATTCACTTGATGCTCATTCTGACAGAAGTTTCAACTTAGCTGTTATACTGAACTTTATCCATGCTTATGTTCTCTATTTCTATTATTTAAAAGTAAACTATGCTTTCTTCTGTTAAAAGAGATGAATACATTATTTAAATATACCTATCTCTTATGTTAACCACAAACATTTTTAATACAACTCTTAAGCAAAATAGTATTTTTCTTACAATGGAACGTCAGTTAACATAATATTTTAAAAATTCTGAAACCAATTTTTCAATTTTTACCTATTATCTTGAGCAAGCAAACATCTTTGCAGAAAACAACATAAAACAAATGTAACTGTTCAAGAAGTGTATCATAATAACTACTTAAAAATCTTTCATTACCAGAAGCCCCATGAATGACTTTGCTGATATAAAACATCCTTTAACATACATTTGCTTAAAATGAAATGCAATATTTATAAGGAAATACTCCATCCAACATATAGACTACATCAGTAATCTCACTGTTCATAATTATTTCCTAATGCTCAACATCATTAGTTATTTTCATGGTTATCCAGAATACATAATAAATTGACTACTAAAGCTACAGCACTAGGTTGGACCAGGAAAGTTAAAAAGAACAAAGAAAAGTATAGAAAGAATTATTACTCTCATTTTAATGCAACTAACTGAATCAGTCAAAAAATCACTTCAAAACTAGGATCAAAAAACTAAATGTATTTTTTTGATAGTCCGTAAAACAAATCAGACACACGCTTGCCATCGTAACTACAATAAATTTCTGTCTTGTAATAAATTGGTAATTTAAAGGTAATGGCTTTTTTTAATTCTAAGGACTTAATTTGCCAAAGTAAGAAAAATTCATGAAATGGCTGATATTTACTTATCCTGATCTGATATAAATGTGTATTGATAGTAAAAAATATAAAATGAATATACACAAATGAAACATAGTCAATCATATTTGTATGAGCCAGGTATCATAAACAGGAACACATTCATTCTCATAAAACCTTACATTTTTGTACATACACTTCCCTTAAGTTTGTACCTCTGACATGTTCAGAATTTGGCTATGCAATTTACTCGTGGGGCAACAACTCTCTAGAGCCAGTATTATTACATCAGCTAGCCAAAAGAGGGCGCAGAGAGAACACTCGAGTTGACGCACTCCCCAGGAAACTGCCAGTTGGTTCCTCTCAAGTTGTCTAACAAGAATCATAAAACCCAGTTGGGTGTGCTAACTTGGAAATACTCGGAGTTATAGCATAAGTATACCTAGATACACTTTAACATATATTTTTATATAAATATATTGATATGTACCATATCTGCCATTCAAAGAAAAATAAATATGCTTTGCCTAATGCATTAGTTTGTATTCCAAAAATTTAGAAGAATCACGTACAGAGGGAGCAGGACCACGGAGTGTAAAGAGAAGGGAGGGAAGTGAATGTGCTCCAGCAGTGGGAAATTTAAGAAAACTCAAACCAGAAACCCTCAGAGTGGGAAAAAGATCACGTCTGGTTCTCATGACTGAGGCAGGGGTTGGCATTGAGTACCTCCCTGGTAATTTTCAAGGTAGCTACTGCTACTATATAAAGTATAAATATGTCCATAAAGCTCTTTAGGGGATCTTCACTTGCCTTTGCTGTTTTCTCAAGGTCCTCATTTAATAGGAATGTACACAGCATAAGGAATTCAACTGACACCTACCAACATTATCTATACATCACTTCCTCGTAATAGTTCTGTCACCAGGCCAAATCTGGTCAATATATTAAGCTTGCACAAAACCCAACCCACTTGCCTGACATGATATACTAATTTTGTGGTTCTTCAAGCTCTATAAATATATTTCTTATATTAAATTCACTATGCATCTTATCAGCACCAATAAATATTTTCACCTGCCACTTTTAAGTTTTTAAATAATAAAGTACTGTCATCAGGACATGAAAGACATGGTACTTTTATCTCTGAGAAGAGCTTACCCTACTATCTTAGAGGATATTTACAATTTCTGAAAACTAACCACAGTATAGTTAATTGGCTGACAATGGTAACCTACTATTTCATCATTTCTCAGGTATGACTCCTTACTATCAAAACTAACTAAAAAGAAAATATTGATATGCTCCAAGAACAGCAGACCCCTTCAATTTTCTCTTCAAGGAAAAGACTGTGAGTACATGACTTTTTAAAAAAGATAATGGATTTTGCAGTATTCTAATGGAAAAAAACTTTAAAACTGAATTTTTTCAAAGCATGCTAAATATCTTTTCACACAAATATTCTATGCTTTCCAAGAGACCATCACAGTAATTTGAATTTGTATAAGGTTAATAATGAATATAGATCATTGTATTTTCTTATTTTAAGGTTATTTCTTAACATTAGCTGCTAACAAAAGGTCTCTCGATCCAAATTATAGTTGGGCAATTAAAATTCAATTTCAACTTGGGTGATTATAGGTACGCAAAAGTTACCTACTTTTACTAGTAACTTTCTATAAATAAAATTTCAGTATTACTTGGCCAGTATCTATTATATATAAATCGTCAGTGTGCAGTTTTAGATCTACTAGTAGGTAAACAAAAGTAAAAAGTATACATATTTTTTCAAAAGCACAATATTCCTCTTTATACTATACATTATATATTATCTAACTACACTAGCATTTTAAAAACATATGCATTCTAATATAGCTGCACTAGAAAAGGTATCTGTGGAATTATTGCAAATTCTTTACCCCTTTTACTCATCAAAATCTTAGGGTAAAACAGGAATACATGCCCACTTGGTCAAAAATTTCTCCTTGGAGCAAATATTTTAACAACAATCAATAATTACAACAGTACAGGAGAAGAAATGGGAAAGTTCACGTGGAAAAAATTAATCTTCCTTTTAAAATAAGGTAGGTAGCTGATGTTTTATTTTAGTAGTGTATTTATTTTGTTTTTGGTGAAGAGAAAAAAAAAATCAGAAAGCTCCTTCTAAGAAAACATCGTCCTTTTTTGTTACTGTTTTTGTTATTTTGTTGTTCACTCCTATATGCTGCATTAAAAAAAAAACACCCTACAGCATACATAACAGGAAGTATTACATATTTTAAATTGTATTTTGAAAAGAAAATTTACATATAATATAAGGTGTATCAACTTTTGTAAAACCTGAAGAATTAAATTCAGATTTGGTTAGTACTGCTTACGAGTGAAAAATTTAAATAAACATCTGAAATTTCCCATAAATTAAAATCTGTAACATTGTTAGTACCAAAAGAAATTATGTACAATTATTTCATCCCAATCACTGCCTTTTGAGTTTAACAACAAAAGCATTTAAAGAAATCCCTGTGGAAAGCTAATTTGAAAGTAAACATGCTTTAAAACTTAAATATAGATCTTGTATTAGTCCCACAACAGGATCAAGATCACTATTAAAATAAAGCCTGGGGCACATTATGATGCCTAAGATTGGTGGGTGGATTTTAATTGACTTGAAGACTGTCATAGTTCTATTATCAGAAAACCTGTAACGCATTTCCAGCATGGAGGACCCATCTGTGCCCACCATCCATCTGTTTAGACGTGATTGGCAAAGTGGTAGGGAACTCGCAGTGGTTGCCTCTGCCTGAAAGGAATAAACCACAGGATCTTCCAACGAGTGCCAAAAACTTCTGAGAAGGTCTGCTGCCATGGCTTTCGGGGCCTCGATCTACAGAAGACAGCATTATTAGTGAAAGACAGCACTCCCATGGTGCACTTCAGTCAGCTAAAACAATGCAGGTTGGCTGGGGATCCATTACTGGACTCTGATGAATTGTGTCCCAGCATCACAAATACAGCTTTCCTTTCATTACGGCGCGCAGCTGAGTTTTAACTCTGGCTAGCAGATATTGTATCTGTGTCGTCAATCAACCTGGGGCAACTTTTGAAGCAGAGGAGAATCTCAGGATTAACAGAATGTGTGTCAACAACACAGCAGCAAATCTCTTTTGATGTACTTTCAGGACAAATAATTTAACTTACTTTAGTTAGACAAGGAACAAGAACGATCAGAACTTATTTTGTTTAAAAACTATCATGGCTAGAAGACCCCTACTGCAAGACTGGGTTATGCTTGTCTAGCTCAGGCCTTAGACAGGCACCAAGAAAAAGCCATCATTATATTATCTTCCCACTACATGCACACATTTTTCAAATGTGGCCCATTATTTGCATTTTAAAATAAGAACACTACCGACTTCACGTTTATACTTACATTTCTTCACAACAGTTTGACATCTTTTCAATAGATGTTGTATCCTATTAAAAGTTAAAAAAAATACACTCAGATGTAACAAAGTTATCAAGGCTTTATTCTACATTGATTTTATGATATTTTAACTCATTCAGAGAATATTCTGAAGATATAAAACAGGTAATATAAGGGTACTAAGAATTTTAAATTATCTACATACACTGCTGAAATTCCCTTGGAAAAATATTATCAGTGTTACATTGTGCTAAAAAAAAAAACAAACTCAATTACAAAAATCCCACAAAAATTGTAGGAGTCTCACTTCATTGAAATATAACACTTGCTTTCTTGATAATTCTTTTAAAAGTCTATTTTTAATTCAACTGCCATGGAATATGCATTAAAAATAAATAGCAAAATGATAAATGAAAGATACTATTGAACAGAAAACTGTCAAGAGCTAAAGAGTGCTCCTGGTCATGGATTTCTGTAAACAAACACGAAGTCAACGAGGCAATCGATGCATTTGCCATACTCCAACATCTATTATTCTGAAAAGTAAAGCTAACGGACTAGAGTTCTTCGGTAAAACTTGTTTTCTTTTTCCAAGGGAAAAATCTGTCTCTTCATAATAATGCAATTTTTTATTGAGTGTTTTCTATAAGGCTCAAACACAAATATATAAGAGCAACAATTCAACAAACAGAAGATAGCTTCTAGACCTGCTGGTTTAATTCATGTTAACAGATGACCTATCACTAGATTGAGAAACTGTGATGCTAAGGACTATCCAGATAATAAAAGCACCAATTACATAATCTTATTTGAGATACGTATTTACATTTAAAATATACTTTTAAGCAGTATAAAAGGAAACCTATTCTTTTAAGCATACAAAAAAGTCAGTTTTCCTCTTCGTATTCTTTATCAGCTCCCCCACGTAGCAGGTAGACTGCACGGCTAGGAAGCAGCACTATACATGCAAGTATCTGTGGCTGCAACTCCAATCCCACAAACTCCTTTAGTTGTAGAACTGTCTTCCAGTAACACTAATAAAAAACACCTTTACTTTAAAAAAAACTCTTTAAAGAAGTTACACAAAAGGCTCATAATATCAAATTCTTATGTATGAACAGTTGAGTAACTACAGTTGGTCCACATACAGGAAAATAAATCCACTGTTTCTTAGGTGACTGGTAACTAGTAACAGAGTTTCATGTTCAGATTTCCCCAGAATCTGTGACAAGGTTATAGATTAGTTACATATTCTATATGCACTAGTTTTCCTATCATGCTTTGAAATTCATGGTATCCAATCACAATTCTATCTATAATTAACATTTCTCGGTTCTGTTGCATAATTTCCTCAAAATAATGTTTTGCTTTGCGAAAACACAGCCTGTAAATACACAAAAACACTGATTAGAGACTTAGAGGAAAGCTGGGCCTCTGGTTCCACATCTATAAAAAAAAAAGTGAATGAAGCAATTTTAATGGTTTCTTAGAACTGATGTTGGCAAGTTGTTCCAAAACAATTAACCTAGCTTGTGCAAAACGCAAAGGCAAAGACAGAGCAGAAATCAAAAAGTGCTATTAGGAAAGGTACATAAATGGCCCCAAATCACAGGTATGGCTAATACTTACAAACTGGAAACTACTTCAGGACAAGGCAGGCAATTAAAAGGTTGGACTACTATAACCAACTAATGTTAAAGGAAATTTTTACTTTGCAGAAACTTACAACTTGATTATAACTTTGAGGAACTTATCTGTGGCAATAAAATAATCAACGTTAAAGACTCTGGATTTAGACTTCATATGGGAAAAGCTTTTATTTTCAAATGCTTTTAACGTCTTTCTAGAATCTGATTCAAGAAATAAGAATACTACTTTCAAGTCATCATAAACAGATAGTTATTTTATCAAAGGATGTGATGTTTATCATGACTTTATGAACAGGATTTGTAAGACTAGCCAAAAGAGATTATTTTTTTCCTCCAGAAATGAAAATGCTTCTCTCCCTAGAACTCAGCTATCCAGAATACTATTATAAGAAAAAAGAACAATTTATATTTCAACAGCCAAACATGTCACAAAGTTTTTGCAGTGGCATTTATATAACATACTCAAGATAACACAAGTTATCACGCTATCACATTCATATGCACAACAGAAATAGCAAATCAGAAGAGAAGAGAGGTTACTACTGGCAGGAACACTGACACCCACAAGTTATTTCTAAGTGCCAAACTAGGTTTAATATACTTTTTGTTCTGTTTTATTAAGCAGAGAAATATGGACTACTTTATAAAAAACAAACTAAATTAAGATAGATTTTGGTGCAGATAATTCCATTCAATATATAAGACTCAATGCCTTTAATGACCATCACAAAATGACCAATAAGATAATTGCTATCCTCAAGGAGTATAATTTATAAATTATTAGTTATATGTAAAATTCAGCTATCTAGAAAAATTCATCCTTCAAGGGACGATAAAAAACAAGTTTTACTGTGCGATGTCTATAATCAAAATACCTTACTTCCAAAGAAATATTTATGTCTTGATGATGGTCTAATGATCAAAATATCTAAGACTTCTGTCGTCATGCGTAACTAAGACACACGAGAATGCTTTCCTGTTTTAAAAACTGGAAATTTACTTTCTAAAAAAGAATAAACTAGAAACAAGCAGGACTTACAGAAATACAGGCATTATGCATTTCATAGACTATACTTAAATTGGGGAGGATGAGAGGCAAAGAGCAAGAATTTATCACCAGACGTTTCCTGGTTAACAGACCTGAGAATCTAGTCCTCTTGGAATAGACAGCTCGATGATACAATCCATCCAACTAACTCATTCTGCTTTCAGTTCATTCTCACAAAGCAACTCTGCCATTTATGTTGCTGTATGTGAGAAAGAATGTGCTAGAGTCCTTTGGTGCCTGACAATTGTACATAAGGGAATAGCAGTCAATCTGGTTTATATGACTATCACTTCTGAGTCTAGAAATAAGAGTCATTATCTCTGGACCTGACAAACTCTGCAAACATTTTCCAGACGAAGCTTGTAGACCTGCCAAACCAAACTGAAGACAGAGAAAGGTAAGAACATTCTATCAGAAAGACTGTTTGAAGACAGTTCTAACCTCAAGGATTGCCTGCACTCTTTAGCCTTATTATAGGTCTGGTTGATGCTCTTAACACTGCTGCACACACCTGATTAAACGACTCTGCTGATTTAATCTGGAGTAAAAAAACATTACTAAGGAAAGATTCTCACAACTAGAGATTATTTACCTGTTCTGTCCACTACTAAAAGAGACTTCTGCTTGACTTCCTAGCATTTCTAGGCAACATACAGACACAGTTCTTCTAATTGTGTATCTTTCATAGCACCGAGCAGCACAGATTATTCAAAGCGGGTACTCTATATATTTGCAGCACTAAACTAACTGAACATGGACAGAAATAACCTGATTCCTTATTTTATTTTTTTAATCCAAAGAGAGAAAATTTTTCCTGTCAATCTTAGCTCTCTCTCCTCCTTTGAAGCCAGAATTCACTATCATCCTCATTTGAAATAAATGGTTCTTTAAGCATCTGTCTCTAACCAAGGACCAGCTATATCTTTCATTAAAGATCTTAAATTCACATTTACATTTAATCAGTCCTGAAATCAAAGTGAGAAGGCAGTATATCTTACATTTATAGCTACTGAAAATTTCTTTCCAAAGTAATTCCCATATTCCTCTTCATCAAGCCACTTTCTGATTATATAAAGTCTTAGGGGAATTACTAAAACTCTGTATCTCAACTTTAAAATAATTCTACTTACCTTATTGGTAGGTTTTTGTAGAAATTAAGTGAATTAAAATGTTAGAGCCCTTAATAATGCCTCAAAAAATGGGAGTCCTGAAGTTTTTACTGATAGTGTCTACTAAACACTTTCTGAGAGGGCTTGAAGGTATCTCAGAGCCATCCAAATGAAAATATAAAATATTATGTTTAAAGAAGATATTATGTTTACACTGAAAGATAAAATGACACGGACTATGGGAGACTACAGTCCCTACAAGGAGCTTATAATCTAGTTGAAAAAACAAGTACTAAGTATATAAACCATGACTCATTTACTCACTTATCCCTCTGTAAAAAATGTACTAAGTACGTATCATGACATAATCCTTAGTATTAAGGAATCTACAGTCTAGTGAATGTAGTCAAATATACGAGAAATAATTACACAGGAATATAGAGAGGATATCAGAGATGATGATTATACACAATAACATGTTATATAAATAAGTCATACACTATTTAGAAACAGCTTACTGTTGTTTGCAATCAACAATCAAGGTCAACTACTCTTACAGTTTTAATACAAAGTTACATTTTCAAACAGATTTTTAGTTATCAGTAGAAGTATGATGGCCTAATGTGCCCCTTTGGCTGGGATTTGGGGAGTAATTAATATACTGACAGAATGTGACAGAGAGAAGTATATGAATCACTGTGGGTAAAAATCTACAACTATAAGATTCACTGTTTTCTTCGATCTATAAAGTTTTAAAGTCAGATTAAAAATTCATGCAGATTCAGAACATGAGACAATAAAATGAATGGGAAAAATTGTGAGTAAAAGGAAAACTTATAAATGTTTGGCTTCTTTACTAAAAAAAAAAAAGCATTTATTTAATCACCCAAGCTTAACTAGCAATGCTTTAAGAAAATTAAAACCCACTATTCCTACTGAAACATTTATAGAAATAGATTTAAGTTGCTTTAAAATACTTCTAATCTTATCAAAAGTAATTCCAAAGAGTTTATTATACTGAGTAAAGAGACAGGATGCAATATAAATACATTCTCGCAAAGGAACATGCTTATGCTCAAGAGCAATCCAATTCCACACATAATAATCATGATGCTAGCAGGCATTTTTAGAAAGAAAGCTTTACTATTAATAAGCAATGTAACTTAATACATATTTAAACAAATTTCTTGGCAAGGAGGAACTTAGTTTCTGTAAGTTCTCTATTGTATTCAAAATTCAAAGAA